TTTTCTTAATGAAGAGAGTGATTTGTTCTAATGGTGTTTGTAAATAGGATATTATGTCCGCATCTTGTACAGCAATTAACCACTAAGAAGAATGTATGCAATGTGTTAATTATTCAAACTGTCCTACCAATTTGATTTGAAACTGTCTCATTGCTATTTGTTTATCAATAAAATTATGGAAAAAAAATAAACCTGTTTAAAATGTACAACTTAAGGATATATTAGAATTCTTAATGAGTCACAGCTCTCCTATGCTTAGTGATTTTGAGAAATTCATTCCTCAGTATTTTAAATAATGAATGAATGAAAACACAGGAGTTCTTTGTGTCCCTTCCAATTTCTCCATGGGACATATGATGGAGATAGCATAATAGCGATTGACATTTATTGAAAACTAGTATAGGCTTGGCACCATTCTAAGCACTTGAATTTAGAAGCTGCAAACATTTTTAAAATATAAAATTAAATAATTTATGTAGTCAACATTAAAGATAAAAAATTGAAAGCAGTTCCAAATGAACATCAAGTGAGAAATATATGTCAAATTGCCTGAGTGCATAGGAAGGTCTATAAATAATTATAGTACACCTCTAAACAACTTCACAGATGCCATGGGCACTATAAAAATATACCAACCAATAGATGACAAGTAGGCTCTTTGATAATACCCTTTCATAATTCCCTGTGAGGACAGGACTGTGTCTATTTGAAGGACATATTTATCTCAGAGTAACCCAAGTCTGATTCACTAAAACTGCTTTGAGGTTACCACTATAGCACACAAAAATACACAAGTCATCTCAGTAACACGGATTAGAAAGGTCATTTATTGTAATATGTACAAAGCAAATGGACAAAATGCAATGCCAGAAAAGAGATAAATACTGTAATCTGAAGAAATCATCTATGATAACAGAAAATCTAAAGGGACAGTATAATAAAACTGTGCTATCTCTATAAGAAAAAAAATTTGAAAAGTGTAAGATAATCCTTGTAGTAGTTTCCTTTAAACATCAGCTGACTCAGAATTTCAAGTCTCTGTCAACACAATGAAATTTCTTTTTCCGTTTATCCCTCCATACATGCATATACAAATCAAAAAATAAAGATAAATCTCAAAAAGAAATGCAAAATAATTTAACTAAGTGTTATGGCTTGTATCTAATGAACTCCCAAAGCCTCATGCAGTCATAATAGGTGGTGCTTTTTCAGAGGTGGCTCAATCTAGTGTGTATATCTGACTCATGACACAATGTTAGGATTAAGGTTGGCAGGATTAAGGGTAAACAATTACTAAGTCAGTCCACTGATTGCTTTGGGGCCACCCTAATCCTGGGGGCCTTCGTACAATAGAAGAGACACAAAGAGGCTTATTTTGCCCCTTGTAGCCTTGCTACCTGCCATGAACAGCTTCTCCTCTGCTATGCCTGTCTGCCACGCCACCCTGCCCTGGAGCCAGCCAATTACGGGCTGAAACCTCTACAAACTGTGAACTCAATAAACCTTTTCCTCTTTATTTTTGGATGTCAGGTATTTCGTCTCAGCAATGAGAGAAAAGTAACTAAGACAACAATGTAAATGTAATGACCGGGCTGGTGAGATGGCTCAGTGGTCTAAAGCACCTACTTAGAACAAGCTAAGCCAAGCAAAGCACAGGGACTGCAGTTCAATCCCCCAGCACCACATTCCAGCCAGCCCCGCCCCCTGGTGGGCTGAGCTGGCCACACACAAAAATAAATAAATAAACAAATAAATAAATAATTTTAAAAATAAAAAAAAATAAATAAATGTAATGACCGATTTAAATGACCAATTTAAATTAGGCCTCAAAACTCAAAAAGAATAGTTTGTCAGTTTCTTTGGAAATGAGTCATAAAGCTACACTTTGGGTTATGAACTATTATTAATGAGCATTTTGCATTGTTCTTACCTAATATAAAGTGCTAAGTTATTATGTGTTCATACTTGACAATGTTAGGATTATAAATACTATTTCAGTCATATAAGCACAAAACCTCTTTTCTGAATTCTAATGCACTAATATATGCACATATTACTTCAAAAACAATGAATACCTTTTAAATTAAAGAATTTATTGAAAGCCTTTAATCTCAGCACTCTGGGAGGCTGAAGCAGGAGGACCACAAGTTTGACTCTAGCCTAGGGAACTTAGCAATGAGACTTGATTCCAAATAAAATATAAAACTGGGATAAGGGTGTAACTCAGTGTGATGGCTGTGTGTTCAGTCCCCAGTACTACAAAAAAGAGTAAGTTCAAGTTGATCTAGCATGCATTATCTTGTCAGTGATATTTTTTGAATAGAGTTAATTAAAAGGACATTAATAAAGACTGAGATTTAGTATTTTTGTGGAGATCATATATACCACTAGCATTTTTAATTGATTCCAATGTTTTAGTAGCTGATACTATTATTAAGACGTATTTAATGAATTCATCATGCTTATTGTTGCTAACTTATAATAAGGGATGAACACTAATAGTAATATTTTAAAGATCACCAACATAATACCTCTTCCTTTTGAAACTATAGCTAATGACCTTCAGAATGGATCGTCATACTTCTACTTTCCAGAGAAGGCTGGATGATGGCTTGAAAGGAAAGAAGAGGGAAAGAGAAAAAAGAAGGAAAACTAAAAGAATTATGGTGGTGCACAGAATGTGCTTTTTATACACTAGATTCTGTATTTAAATTTCTTAGAGGATCAGCAATTCTCTTTCAAAACTCCCTTATTTCAACAGGAATAGATGTTTTATGTTAAATATAACTCTTGAGACCTGAGAGCTCTTTTTCAGAATTTTTTTCTCTGTAGTCCAAGAAAGAAAATCTTTAATACAGTTTTGGTGTTGTGTTTGTATTCAGTAGTCTCTGCTGTATCAGCAAGCCATTAAATATTTATAGTAAGAAATTTGGATCTCAAATTAAACTAGCACATGTACTTAAATTTTACATTAACAAAAAAAATTTTTTATTTCAAGTTTTATTTTTATTTATTTTTTATGCATTTAGGACAGGGTCTACAGGATCTCACTATAGATCAGACTCATAGTGATTCTCCTGTTTTTCGCCTCCCAAGCACTGGGATTCCAGGCGTGTGCCACCTTACTCAGTCTCAAGGGCAGTCTCAGTGCGCTGCAGGGGCGGGGCCAGTAAGGCACACTGGGGATCACACCCCAGCCCCTGCTCACTGCCTTACGCAGGTGCTTTAGTCCGCTGAACTATCTGGCCAGCCTTCTTTCAAGTTTTAATAAAGAACAAAGTTGAGGTTTCTTTTAGCTCTGGATAATGTTTGCCACTTATACTTACTATATATTTTTTCTTTTAAGTATTGTATTTGTAATTAATGGAAAAAGCATAGTATCCTTTTAAACAAGTATGTTCATATTTTCTTACATACTTTATTCCTTTTTCTTTCATGCCTCCTCCTAACATATTGCCTTCTACACATAACATGTTTTGTGCATATCACAGTACATGTCACACTCAGCTGTCAACTCTTTTGTGTAAACAAAGTGAAATTAATGTGATGATCTAGTACCAAGATCATAAAGTCACCTAGGAAAGATTATTTTGCACATATATCACTATTTTATTTACTATCAGCCAAACTACTTTTTTACATATTATTTCTTAAAATGTTCAGAAAGGGGGCATCTTATTTTAAATTACTTACTTTATTTTTACCAATCTGCAAAGATTATCTTAAACTATACAATAGACTTGAAGGTTTTTAAAAATCAAATTAAAGTGAATGTATAGCATGAATTACAGTAAAATACCAAAGTGCTAATGATTCAACAAGACCTAAATCAGGGTACTGTCCTATATCGTGATAGCCATATTTAATAATCACTAGATAAAATGAAAAACTGTCTACATCATATGAATACTATTAATGATAGCACTTGTATTTTTATTAAAATGGCAAGAATACCAGTAAAATACAGTAGCATTCAGGCTATATCATCAAATGAAAATCTACAGACAAGCAAGAGATTTAGATTTTGGAAGACATGGAAGAACCACGTTACTTTAGATTACATACAGCCACCCCAGGGGAAAAAATAAAACGGCAATTAAGTTGACTATAGTACTTTAATGTTTCAAAGAAAACTTATTTAAAATACAGATTTTTAACAATCTTACATTCTTAACACATATCATCACCTACCTTTCTAAAAATAGTAGGAGTACACACAATTGTAGAAAATGTATGTTAGTCTTTGAGTGGTACAATAGTATGGATTAAAAATCCCGACACACTCCGATTTTCTGATACTTTGAAGTCAGTTTATGGCACGGAATTTCTGTCAGGTTGGTTCCAAAATGCAATATTGAGTCCTAGGCCACTACTGGGAAACTGCGCTGCTGCAGCACAACTTCTCCAGCCATGATGCCATAAATCAAAGGGAAAAATATTTAACCAACCAGTTATTTCAGATACCAAGGAAGGAAAGGAAATCAGTTTTGTAAAAACACTTTTCCCTCTTTTTTAAGCTTCTTTATTTACTCCGGATAGTTAACAAAACAGTGTCCAATAAAGTGAGCAGATTGTGCACTCACTATTACTGTGTGGATAGAGAGAGCCATATGCATTTTTGTTTGTATAAGTCATCTCCGATCACTGCGATATGGCACACAAGAACAGAGACTCAGAGGCACAACATTCATAAATACATTTAACATTGTCAAGCATTCAAAAGATAAATGCAATCATATAGCAAAAAAAAATCCATCTGTAATTTTGACCTTTCCGAGGATGGGAAGAATCTTTTGGCATGTCAGAAATCTCTATAACAAAGATTCCTGTAAGAGAAAAAAAAGTAGGGAGATTTATGTTTTTATTCAATTACTTAAGCATATATAAAAATTCTAGAATTTACTTTAGTACTATTTCAGTTTTTGCCCAGCTTCCTTAAAGAAAAATGGATATATATTTTCAGTTAGTTTTCACAAACTATGGCACATTAATACTGCATAATATTATGCAACAATAAAAAAGCATGAACTATTGCTATAGTCAACAATTTGGATGGATGTCATGGGCATCATTCTGAATGAAAGGCCATTCCAAAGGATCACATTTTGTGTATAATTCCAGTTATATAGCATCTTCAAAGTGACAAAATTATAGAGAAAGAGAAAAAATTAGTTTGCCAGTTGCTAGGGATGGAGAAAGGACACCTATAAAGAGGTATCACAAGACAGTGGGCCCTCTGGTGCTGATGGAACAATGATCTTGTCCAGCATCCTGACTCGTGGTAGTCTGCTCACCAGTTCCCTCATTCTCTCCAACATTTTCTCTGTGTGTTGCTTTATGTTTCCAAGAGAATGGATCATTAATGGACTTACTCTTCTAGGGATCGATCTAGGCCTCGGTCAGGAGATCTATGGTGAGCACGTTCCGGTGAATGACATTTTGTATTTGGCTTCATTGAACTCAAATGATAAGCATTGCTTGAATAATTCTGGCGGCGAAGTTCTTGGACAGCCCTTTCCCTAAAACAAAATAGCGATGCTTTTAAATTTTGTAGGTTGGTGCTATTAAAACTGTCATAAAACTGTAGCTCAAAGAATACTTCAAAATCTGTCAACTAGGCATTGTGGTGCACACCTGTAATGCCAGCACTTGGAAGGCTGAGGCAGGAGGGTCACTGCAAGTTTGAGACCAGCCTGGGGGCTACAAAAGTCAGCACGAGGCCAGGCAAACTGTGTAATGAGACGCTCTCTCAAAAAAAAATTTAATTGTCATGAAATAACTAAAACTTATAATTACCTATGAAATAACACTCAGGCTAAGTAGTGTATAGATAATACACTTACCTTTCAAATCGTTCTGTCCCTAGTTGTCGCTTAGTAATGTCTAAATCAGCTTCCAGTTGTGTTACAACGTTTCTAAACTGGGCTACATCTCTACTCTGGATGGCCCTGTTGTAAATGAAGGTAAGAATGACAATTAATTAAATCTAAAACATAACCGTGACTTAAGCATGTATTAAACCATGCTCATAGTGGTGTCTTAGGTAGATCTAAGTCAAATTGTGATTTTCATAGACAGACTCATTAGTACATATAAATTATGCTAATTTTAGATGTATTAAATATACAAATCAGCATCCTTGAAACGCCTAAAGAGACTGGGCATGGTGGCATGCACCTGTAATCCCAGCACTTGGGAGGCTATAAACAGGAGAATTACTACAAGTCCAATCTAGTAGTGAGACCCTGAACACTCTGTAGATCCTTCCCTAAAATACAGAGAAAAAAGTAGCCTAAACAATTTTTGTCCCCATTCAATTAACATTTTCTGTGTCAGTATCCCTATGTATAGATGAAACATCAAGAACTAGATAATGTAATACCCATCTATATTATCCATTAACTATAAATAATTTTTTCTGAAAATACTTTGAAGTATTATTACATAATTGTTAAGCAGTACTACAGTATCATCAAGTAATAGTGGAATTCACTAGCACCACAATTAGTATATACAGTCTGTTTTATGTATATAATTCAATCAGGTGTTTTATATATACTTAAAATTTAGCGTACATACTAATACAAGCAACTCTTTAATTTAGCAGAATCTTCCATAAGGTTAAGTAACGTATCAAAACCCCTGTGATAAGGCACACTAGCATGAGAAAGATGACAGATGAATGCTGCTTGCACAGAACATTCTATGCTCTGTGCTTACTTTTAGGATGGAGTACAGACTGCTGAAATCTAAATATTAATGATTAAGAACACAAAAAGTGGGGCCGGGGAGATGGCTCAGTAGAATAAGCGCTTGCCTGGAAAGCACAAGGGCCTGAGTTCAATCCCCGGTTCCGCCAAAAAAAAAAAAAAAAAGAACACGAAGAGTTTAATCATGCTATTCAGCTCTAAGTGATAGTACCAGTCAATCTAAAACAGAGTGTACTGCGGATGGCAGGAGTTTTGGCACTCTTCCCTCGGCAGCTTTCCTCCAGAGAAAGGGACCCTGCAGAACCAGTTGAAGGTATCGCAACAGTCCAGCTACAGTAACTGAGCAGAATGTCTCAGGCACAGCTGCTAGGACCTAAGAGCAGTTTCTGAGAGAGGAACACTCTGCTGGTGCATGGCCCTGCAAGGGCATGATTTCTATGCTTTCCCAGGTCCTGGTCTCAGATCCAAGGGCAGAATAAGGAGCATTAAAAAGTGTTATAGACAGGACAGCTACAAATACAGGTTAAGGAACCCCACCAGTTTTTGTAAGAGGCAACCAAGTTTAATACAAGAAACATTCACCATCCAGGCAGATATTTTAACCTGTCTCCACCCAGCATCCTTACAATAAAGTGCTGGTGGAGCCCAAGATTCTACACAAACAGCAAACAGAAAAGGCCAAAATCAATGGGGTGAGAAAGCGCTTGAGATTTTGTGAACTCAGCTTTTCCAGGTACCCAGCATATGCTCCTAGGTACGAAAGAAATACCATGTGACAAACACAAAGACTAGGTATTAACACCAGGGGGGTTCAGAGTGCTTACTTTCTTTCATTCTGGTTTCTAAAGGCAATATTTTAGATCAGACATTCTATTCAACTGCACCTAAAACTGATGGAAATAGCAGAGATGGTTCAACTTAAATATTTCTGATAAGAAAAAGCAACATATAATGATACTAAATCTCAAACAAATCACAATAATTCTGACCCTCAAGTTAACTAATGGCAAATTATTAGTTAAATTCTTTAGAGTCCACCTTTAAAATTCTCCTTATATATTAAGTATGAAATATTAAGAATATGTCTTTATTTTCTTATATTGCTAACCAACTCACATTTTATTTTCTGCCAAGCAAAGGTGTTCTTTAAGAAGCTGAATTTCAGATTCTTTTTCTTGAAGGGCTATCTGAGACTGATACTCTTTGTCTCGATTGGCCACCAGCAAAGCTTCTAGATTCTGCATGGAGATTCTCTCATTTGTCATCTGACTCCTGAGGAGTTCTATTTCAGAACGAGCAGAATCTAATTCATTTTCCATCTGTACAATAATAGGAACATATCTAGACTTATTCCCATTCATTCATGTAACTGACATTATCAGGAACTCAAAAGGTTTTGTAGTATGTTGTAAACTAACAACCATTTTTAATTTATTTGAAATTTTGTCTCCTTAACCAAGGTACATAGCATATATGCACATAGTGTCACTTTCTCTACCTCTGATCACATCAGAAAACTCCTTACATCATTTCATTAATCCCGCAACCAATTATTAACTGCAACCAATTTCCATTTCCAGTTTGATATTTCTCTGTATATTTCTGCAACTCTGATAATGGTGATGTCTGTGACTAGTACTTTGAATCAGCCAAGTTATAAACACTTAAGCACCTTCTGGAATATCACTATACTCTATAGTTAAGGAAAATAAGAAGAAAATATACTTTCCTTCTCTTGTATAAACCTGTGGGAAACTTCCCTTTCAAAATTATGAGCTGAGATTAAAAACTACAGTGAATATTTTTCATAAAAATAAAAAAAATAACGATCACAGTTAGACAGGTGGCCAGATCACAGTTAGACAGATCCCCTTCAAAATACCTCCTCTCTTTGAACACACTTAGCACACCCTTCTTGCCACTTCGTGAAGCAGTTCTAGATGTCTTCTGTGCATCTTTTCATGGCTGTTTCAATGTGCTGAATCAATTCCAAATGTTTACGGAAATTTTTGTCAAAAATATTGAGGTGTATCTTCATCCACTGTATCTGGCAGCATGCAACTTCTGGCTCATCCCCAAAGTCAAACTAACCATGAAAGGAAAATGTTTTATGCTGACTGAAGGCAGCTATGACAGCACAACTAATGGCAAGAAAAAGGATTTTCAGATCTGCTTCAGACAGTGGCAAGAACCATGGGATGTGTGCTCAAAGTGAGCAATATTTTAATGTTCAAAGTGAGGACTAACGGCAATGTATTTTACTGTAATATATAAATAAAAATCTACACTTATCACATTTTTCAATCTCACCTGCCCTAAAAAATGCTGTGTCAAATTTCCCTTGAAAAGAATGAAGAGCTATTATTATTTAGAAAAAAAATTCTTTAACTCATATTATACATTATGATAAATGCTATATCCATCAAAAAGTTACATGTGGAAAGATATTTTCAAATTCTAGTAAAGAGAAATGAATTAAAATTAAATTTTTTTCACAATCCAAGTCATATTTTATTTTTTAATTCTAATTGAGTAGCATAAATAAAAAAATTCCCAATACATTTAAAATGTAGTCTCCCTTTCCCACATATTATCTACACAGTGATGTCAAACAGAAGTGTAATGTAAATCACAAATATGAACTAGCTGTGTAACTTTCACTGTTAAAATTAAATTTTTGAAGTGGAGACAGCTAGGTAACAGGGAAGGAACTTCCTAAGGTAGATAAAATGAAGAAATAAATTTAACCACTATAAAAATAAACATTTTTATAGTCAATATAAACTTAACCAAATTTTGAATGAAAACTACTGGAAGAAAACTCAGTTGGGCCAGGGAGATAGCTCAGTAGAATAAGCGCTTGCCTGGCAAGCACAGGGTCCTGAGTTTAATCCCTGGTACCGCAAAAAAAAAAAAAAAACAAAAAAAAAGAAAACAAAAAACAAACAAACAAAAAAAAACTCAGTAAACAGTTAATATCTTTACTGATAAAGTAAACTTAAATTGGTGAGAAACATGAACTGTATGATCAGAAAATTTAAAATGAAATAAACAGTAATTATATGGAAAATACTTACCCTTTCTAGTAGATATAAACTAAAACAAGATATTATTTATAGTCTACAAGTTTTTTGCCTTAACACCCTAACCTTTTGGGCTGGCTACTTATCCGCTGGGTGGGGCTGCACTGTACATTAGAGGATGCTTATCAACATGTTTGGCATGCTCTACCTATAGATCCCTCCTCTGCTTCCCCACTCTGGTCACAACAAGCAAAAATACATCTAGAAAAAGTAAAATTGCATCTGGATATTGTTGTTTTTCAGTTGCACTGAAAAGTGTAACACAGATGTTCTTCTAGCGTACTACGCCAGCAAATTCGTTGGTTTGTGTTGAAGAACATGAAAGGAGGCAACAGTAGTCTTATATACTTTTGCCAGCAGCAGCACAGAATGGAACATCACTGTCTTGGCAACAGCTCGCCTGGCATGCAACTCACACACCGTACAACCCACAATTTAAAGGATACAATTCAATGATTTTAAATATGTGAAGTTATGCAACCACTACTGCGATGTGATGTTAGAATTTCACTAACCAAGGAAGAAACTCGGCACTCATTAGCACTCAACCCGCCACCCTGCTGTGGCCCTAATAATCCTTAATCTACTCGTGTCTGTGATTTGCCACATTCTGGGAGTTTCATATGAAGGGAATCATACAATGTGTATATGGTCTTTTTTAATAGGCTTTCTTCACTTAGAATGTTTTCAAGAGCCATTGGTAACATAACTAGCTGGTATTAGTAGTTTGGTTTTTATTACCTAATATTTTATTGTACAGACTTACCACAAATAACCATTCATAAATTAAAGTATCTTACGTTATTATACACCAGGGTAATCATATATGCAATGCTGTCATGGCACCGGTATACAAGTTTTTGTGTACACATATGCTTTCATCTCTCTCAGCTACTTAAGATTGAAATTTCTGGGCTTATGATATTTTTACCATTTGAGAAACTGCCAAAATGCTTTCCAAAATAGTTTCACTGTGTTACATTCCCATCATCAGTGTATGGAGGTTCCATTTTTTCCACATCCTTGTCAATATTTTTGTTTGTTTCCTTTGCTTTGCTTTAATGATTTATTTATTTATTTATTTATTTATTTATTTATTTATTTTACACTGTGTGAGGACAGAAAGGGCACCTCAGAAGGTTCTGAGGCTAGTACATTCTATCACCACTATTACTTTAGCAAACCTGACTCCCTTAGCTCCTGCCACATCATGCAGAGCTAGTGATCGAGTTTGCACCATTTTTTTTTTTATTATAGCTACCCTAGTGGTGATGAAACGCTATAGTTTTGATTTGTTCTTTCCTGACTATTAATGATGTTGAGTATCTTTACAAATGCTGATTGGTCATCTGTGTTTGGGTCTATAGAGGAATGTCAGCTAACATCTTCGCTTATCTTCTTATTTGGGTTATAAGTACTATAACCCAAAATGTATAAGTATATATTTTGAATACAAATTTCTTATAAAGTATATGATTTGCAAGTGTCTTTTTCTTACTTTGTACATTACTGTTTTACTTTCTTACTGATACCATCTGCAGCAAAAAGGTGCAGGTAAATTTTTTTATGAAACCCATGTGAGCTTTATTTTTTTATTTTCATATGTTTTTGATATGAACTTGTAAAGCTGCTGCTTAACTCATGGTCACAAATATTTGCTTCTGCATTTTTTTCCTAGAGTGTTTTAATTCTTATGTACAGATCTATAAATCATTTTATCATTATGTATAACATAAAGTTGGAACCCAACTTCCTTTATATGTGTGTGTGTGTGTGTGTGTGTGTGTGTGTGTGTAGGTGTAGAGCATTAATTTGATAGTGTTTGCTGTAGTTTTTTCATAAATGCTCCTTGAGAAGTTGAGAAAGTTTCTATCTGCTCCCTAGTTTTGAATGCCTTTTTCATACAAATTTTGAGTCTTCTATCAGATGCTTTTTCTGAATCTATTGAGGTGAACATTCTTTATTATTTTCTGTTGACTCAATTTCTTACCTATTTTTTATTATTTTGTTTACTTTTATAACTTTAGGTTTAATATGATGCTGTGCTTTTCCCCAGTGTCTTAAGTGTAAGATTAGATTAGTGGTTTGAAATCTGCAGAAAAATTTCCAGAACTGGTAAATGAGTTTGGCAAGGTCAAAAGGTACAAGATAAAGATTCAGAATTAGTTGTATTTTTATACACTGGCAATGAACACATTGAATGCAAAATTAAAACTAAAATACCATTTAAAGTAATTTTAAAAGTGAAAAGGTTTTTTTATTTTGTAACTGTAAATCTCATAAGACATGTACAGGATGTATGTGCTGAAAACTACATAAAGCTAATATAAGAAAATAAGGCATGCTGTGTTCGTGGACTGGAAACCTCAACAAAGTAAAGACATTAATCCCTTATAAACTGGTATTTAGGTCTAATAGAACTCTATCAAAATCTCACCATCATTTTATTTCATAAATATAGAAACATTATTCTCATACTTATATGGAAAGGAAAAAATAGCTAAAGCAATTTCAAAAAATAAAGTAGATGCATTTGTATAGTTAGTATATAATTGTGATTGTGTGATACTGATAGAAAGACAGACACACAGATCAATGTTAAGGAACTAAAGGCCAAAAACTAGGTCCACACAGATAGGTTCACATGATTTTTTACAAAGTTACAAAATCAGCTCAACGGCTTATACTGTTGTTCAATAGCTTTTTTCAACAAATTGTACTAGAACAATTGGACACAAAATCAAGCAACCAAGAAAACCTTGGTTCAAACATTATTTTAAAGAAATCTGACTCAAAATGCATCATGAAATTAAATATGAGAAATAAAACTATAGGGGGCCAGAGAGATGGCTCAGTGTAATAAGCACTTCCCTGACAAGCACAAGGGCTTGAGTTCAATCCCTGGTTCTGCCAAAAAATAATTAATTAATAAAACACTTAGAACAATAACAGGAAAAATATTTGAGACTTAGAACAATGCAAAGAATTATTAGACTTAAAACCAAAAACATGACCTACAAAAATCGTAAGTTAGAATTCTTACAAAATTTTGTTCTGAGAAAGACCCTGTTAAGGAGTATAAAAGTGACTAGGTCTATATGAGAGGATAGTGCAAACTATATACCAGATAAGGGTCTAGTATCTAGAACACATAAAAATCCTCTATAGCGAAGACTAAAAAGAGCAACATTTCAATGAGAACATAGACCAAAGATACAGGTATTCCATGAAAAAGATATGCAGATGGAAAATATCTACCTAGAAAGAGTTTCCATCTCAATAGCCACTAGGGAAATGCATATTAAAACCATAACATACCACTATACACATATTAGAATGATTAAAATAAAAATGATGATAAGACCAAATGCAGACAAGGATAAAAATAAACAAAATTAACTTGTACAATGTTGGTAGGATGTAAAAATGATAGATCCTAGGCAAAGTTTGGTACTGTCTTTAAAAAATAATCATGCAATTAACATTTAACCTAAAAATCACAGTCCTGGGCACTTACAGCAAAATGAAGACTTACATGCACACGCGCGCGTGCATGCACACACACACACACATGTAACTACTTGTAATTCCTCCAAATTGAAAACAACCTAACTGATCTCTTCAGTGGATGAATGGTTAAACAAACAGTGCTACGCCAACATTATGAAATGTGATTCAGCAATCAAAAGAAATGAGCAATCACATACGCAGCAACCTGGAAGACTCTACAGAGAATTATGTTGTGTGAAAAAGCCAATCCAAAAAGGTTATTGCATGATTCCTTCATATAACATTCTTGAAATGACAAAATGACAGAAATGAAGAACACATTAATGGTTGAATAGGATTAAGAAGGTCCTTTCTTAAGTGACACTATAAAGGGTAACATAGTGGATCCTGGGATAGAAAAATTCTGTCTCTTGCTTGAATCATCATCGATATCTCTGCTGCAATATCAAACTATAGTTTTGTAAGATGCTAACATTGAGAAAAACCAAATAAAAAGTACATGAGATTGCTCTGTATTATTTATTAAACTACATGGAAATCTTCCCGTTATCTAAAAACAGTTTAGAAAAAAAGCATTTGAATGTCCCCTTCCTATATAGCACAGCTGAAGAAACAAAAAATAAGTAATATGCCCCATGCATTTGGGATTACAAACTGAAGAGATAAAGACATGTACATAGATATGTCAAGGTGAAATAAATTTAGAAGCATTTTAATGTACTATGGGAATTGGAAATAAGCTACAAAATTTAGAGTAAAAAATCTTTAAAATATTTTTAAATTACCGTACTTATATATAGTTCTATTAAAGCCAATGATTTTAAAACATTAAAAAGATACTGGATCAGGGGATATAGTTCAGTGGTACAGCACTTGCCTGGCAAATACAAAGCCCTGGGTTCAATTCCTGGTACCAAAAAAAAAAAAAAAAAAAAGATGCTAGAATATACTGACTTGGTCATAGTCTACTACTTTTGTAAATTTTTGTATTATGTCTTCTGGTACTTCAGCTTTATATTATTTCAGTTGTCAGAACAACATGAAGGGACTTTTGCATTATGAAAACATAAGGTAAAACAATTTTTAAAATAAAAGGACATAGTTTCAATTTTTCAGCAAGCATCTATGAGTTACTTTCATCATTAAAGCATTTTCCTAAAATAAAAAATAACTGAACGAAGAGTGAGAATTTGGGCATGCATCATTTCATTAAAATATTAGTAGATTCTTATAAAATTAACTAGACACGATTTTCAAATGCATCATCAAATAGTAGATACAAAATGGGAAGTTCAACAAGGTTTGGTATGAACACTACTGTGAGCACAACCGAACTTTGCTGGCACCCCAGTTACACTGTGCGGCTGCTGCGCATGTCCCTTCAGGATCTGGTCTCCATTTCTCCAGACCCAACCTGCAGCCAGTTCCTTCCTGCCATGTCAGCCAATTTGAGTTGCTTACTGTTCACTCAAGAATCCACAAACATCCCATACCTTGCACCCCAAGGCTAAAAAGGAATTCCTTCTATGAAACTTTGATAATAAGTATTTCTTATTAGTGTAATGCTCATTCCAAGTTATTTGTATGTCGACACTTAGAGGACTTGGATGGAGGGGCAGAACTTTTATCTTCTGGATATTAAATTCCAGTGGCAGGCAAACTGTCAGCCACAAAGCAAATACAATCAACTGAATTACAGTTTGAAAGAACCCAGCCAATTATTAAATAAAATTAGCTTAAGAGAACACCATTCAGGTTGTAATTAAGCTGACCCTCAAACTTATGGCTCTTTGTTAACTGCTATGTCAATATAATTTATAATTCTTTAGACTAAAAGTAAATCAAACTGTATGCTCAAAAAAGTCTGTTCTTGAATACTGGGAACATAACTGGCATAAACTAATTCATGAATTTTTAAAAAAATTAAAAATTAATAAAAACTAAATCTAAAGTTGAAAGATATAACTCAATGTAGTATTTAATTAAAAAAAGCTTTAAAATTGCAGTAATATTAAGAGTAACAGCCATTTTTAAAGAACCTTTTAAAATGTATTACAGCTGGACATGGTGGAACACAGCTGTAAGTCCAGCACTCTAGAGGCTGAGGCAGGAGGACTGCCATGCATTCAAGGCCAGCCTTGACTACACAGCAAGACTCTGTCTCAAAAAGAAGCCAAAACATAAAATGTATTACATACCATTTCTATTTCTTGATCCTTAGCAACCAGCTGCCGATTAAGAAGTTCTTTGCTTGAGTCAAGTTTAATACAGAGCTCCCTTGTGGAAGACAAATCTGCAAGGGCAGACACCTTTTCAAACTGAACCTTCTGTAGCTCCTCCTCCATCTTTACAAGAGATTTGTGTAAAGTTGAAATCTGGGACTTGTAAGACCTTTCTGCATTTAAGTGCTGCAAGGACAAGACACTTTTACTATACATGTGAAGGAAAGCAAAATGAGGCAAATCTTCTAATACTAGTACTTTGGACCAGAAGAAGTATAGGTGATACAGTTATAACTGTGTGTTCAAAACACTCTGGGAAAGATAACCCTAGTCTGAAAATTTGTTTAAGTAAAATCAATGAGTAGGATGGTCACATACTCATTTAAAACTATTCTAAGAATAAAACCCTTTTCCCACCTAAAAGCCTGAAGTGCTAAGGCTAGTTGAACATTGGTTTATATTTTTACCTCTATTTGTTACAGTCATAATTATTTTATAAGACAAATGCTGTTGCTGTTGCTGGCCAGTGTTGGCCAATGATTCGTCCACTCTTTTCTACACTCTTGATTAGCATGTTGATATTAAACATACCATATAAAATGAGGACTGATAAGTCTAACACTTAGACATATCACTGAGGGACAAAGACTCTAGGTGAGTATAAATCAAGCACATATCCAGTAACAGGAAACAAGAGTATGTTTTCAAAACCACAATATGAGATTCAAGTTATATAAATGGTTCCAAATGTTCAAAATAATTCTTTTCCCGTTACTTTTTACTTCAGAAAAATGCCTTACATAAGAGCACTTGCCACCTACAGAGAAGTATTTGTTTTCTGTAACGTTAAGACAACAGAACTGAAACGCGCACATTTCTATGTGCTTTTCCAAGAGCTGTTACCAGCATGAAGCACCGGGAACTTTTCCTGGTGTAAGGCACTGCCTGACTCGCCCCACTGGCCTCCAGCCTCCCCTCCCTCCACACTTACAGCTGCTCATTCCTCCCCCTGCTGCCCACACAAGCACGCCTGCTCCCAAGCCCCAATATCCACGGAGCGTACTCTGTGTGCTAGTCACTCTGGAAGAAAAACTGTGATCTCGTAAGACTTCCAGACTACTGGCAGAGTCACACATCAATCAAACAAGGATATACTAAATACATCTTAAGAAAACGCCTGTGGAGAATATGTAACAAGGAAGCTGATCTAGATTGCTACCAACAAGTAATTTAAAAGCTTGCAAGGATAAACCTAACATTTAAAAAACACAGTTCTTAACAACATAAAATTTAAAAAGTCTAGAACACAATCAGAGATTTCTAGACTCTCAAGCTATGAATATAAGATCCCTAACTAAGAAAAACCTCAGTCAACAGACACGGAAGCAAATATTGCGGATTACCCAAAAAGGACATTAGAACAGCTATTATAAGCACGCTCAGTATGTATGTACATAAGTATGTCTCACAAAAAGGACATTAAAACAGCTATCACAAACACACTCAGTATGTATGTACGTATATATGTCTCACTATGCAGTTCAGGCTGGCCTTCAACTCACTATGTAGCCCAAGAGGGCCTCTAACTTGCGGTGAACCCCTTGTCGGTGATTACAGCTGGGCACAGTCACGCCTAGCTCACATACTCATTATGACCAAGGATTTAAGAGAAAAATAAGAAGAGAAGAGAAAGTCCTTAAAATAATTAAATAGAATACTTGGAAATGAAAAGACAATGTCTTAAATGAATAATAAAATAATTATCTTAAAAGGTATACCTAAACATATCATACTCAAACTGCAAAAAATTAACACAAATAGAAAATCCTAATCACTTCTCGGCCTTTTGACTAAAACCAAGTGTAGAAAATCCTGAAAAAAAAATCCAGAAGGGAGAGAAAAGGAACAAAAGTAAGAAGCATTATCAGACTTCTCTTTAGAAACCATGCATATAAGACAGAAGGGTAAAATAAAGTATTGACTCAAATCTATGTCAAAAACCTATCTTTCTAAAATTAAAGAGAGATACCCCCCTCAAAGAAAAATTAAGAAAATCTGTTTCTAGTAAAATTATCTTGCAAGAAAATTCAAAGAAGTTTTTCATCTACCAGATCTACATAAGTATCAAGGCTCGGAGTGCTAGAGCATGCCTATAATCTCAGCACCAGGGAGGCCAAATAAGAGGATCTCTGCAAATTTGAGGCCTACTTGGGCTATACAGTGAGTTCAAGGCCACCTGAACTGCATAGCAAGACCCTGTCTCAAGAAAAAAGAAGTATAAGAGAAAGAATAAATGAAGATAAAAATCTTATCTTTTTCTTATTCATAACTTATGTACCAGATAAGTTATTAAAAATAATAGAAATAACATATTGGATTACCTCATCTTATAAATAGGTGAAATTAAGGATATCATGGCGATGAGTGATGAATTTCAAATACTTCACTATAAGGTGCCTGCACTATTCATGAAGTAGCACACTGTTATTTGAAAAGAGTTACATTAGATATAAGTTTATACTGCAAATTGTAGAGCAACTACAATTATCCTAAGAGAATAAATAGAATTAGGTCATATAAAATGCTCAATTAAAACCAAAAAAGACAGAAGAATAAGGCTATAAAAGAAAAAAAAGAAACCAAGAATAGGACAATAAATAGAAAATGGTTACAAATACACCAACTAAAATGCAAATTACAAAGATGGATTGCAAAAGTCCTAAGTATATTTATCCACAACAAATTCACATGATGTGAAGATGCTAACATAACTATGGGAAAGCTGAAGTAGCTCTGTGCACTTCAGACAAAGCAAATTTCAGAATACGAAAAATTAACAAAGTTAATTTACAGTCTGAAAGAACTGTAAGGTATTGCAAAATAATTAAAAATTAAATTTTCTAAAAGAACATAACATTTAAAATGTACACTCCTACTCTTAGAGATGGGGAAAGGACTCAGGGGAAGTAGAAGGTAAGGGACAAGGAAGGAGACAGATTGAAAATGACCCAGCTATGTTACCTGTATGTACCAGTTCCCCAAACAAACATCACAATTCTGTATTGTTAACATGAAGTAAAAACTAAAATGTACAACTCTAACAATCCTAAAGTACATCAATATATGTGAACCAAAACAAAAAGGAATGTCCAGGAGAGATACACAAATCTACTGTTATACTTATATTATTAGAGAATGCAGCATTTATATATCAATAATTGATAGATCCAGGAGACAGAAAATCAGTAAGGATATAGTTGGACTGAGCAGCAGTATTGATCAATTGGATCTAGATGACATTTCTATAGAATACTTTATTCAACTATAGCAGAATATACATTGCTCTCAAGTTCAAATGGAATATTTACGAAGGCAGACTACACATGTCTTATACACATGTGACTAATAGCTAAATGAAATGAGGAGACTGGAACTATTATGAGTAACATTTTTATACTTCATTAGAATTAAGGGGTGTAAATATGAAGTAGATTCTGACAAGGCAGATGTTTATGTTAAACATCAAAAAAGTAATTAAAAACCGCAAAAATCACTAATTAAATTTAAATGATTTGTTAGATAATATTCACTTAACCTCAAAGGAGGCAGTATATAAGGAATAAAGAAACAAAATAGACATGCTATCAGGAAAAAGTAAAATTCCAGATATAAATCCAGTTATATCAATGTTAAATATGAATTGGTTAAGCAATTCAATCAAAAGGCAAAAATTATTAACACTAAAATTCATATGGAAACTCAAAAATTCAAAACAGCCAAACAATCTTGAAAAATAAAAAGAAAGCAAGAAGACTCACACTTTGCAATTTCAAAACCAACCACAAAGCAACAGAAATTATGATTTCATGGTCTTGGCAAAAGGATGGATACACAGATTAATGGAATAGATGTGAGCACCCAGAATAAATGTATCTGTCTATAGCATATTAATTTTTTATGAGGGTGCTGACGTCAATAAAGAAAGAAATCTTTTTAACAAATGCTCCTCTTGGACAGCTGGGTAACCATGTATGAAAGGATGAATCTGCATCATGTACTTTACACTATGAAAAAGAAATAGGTAAGAGGATCAAGTAAGGGGTCTGGTAGTGAGAGTTACAGGGCATAGTGTTTCTTCTTGACTTCATGAAAATGTTTTAAAAATGTGTTGGTGGCACAACAACTCTCTGGTACATAAATTCTATTCAACCATATTCTAGGTAAGTTATTTGGCATGTGAGTTATTCCCAATAAAGTTATTACAGAAAATAACAACATAAAAACAGGTAGGATCCAGCTAAAGTAGTGTGTAGAGACAAATATGTACCTGTAAAGTATAAAGGAAAATGATCTCAAACCAATGATCTAAACATCAACCTTAAAACAGCAGAAGAGCAAGTTAAACCCAAATTATATGAAGAAATAAAAAATCAAAAAGCAACACAATAGAAAATCAATGAGAGAAAAATAAATGAAATCAACAC